AATCTGAAAAGGGCCTTAGCCTTCATATCTATGTCAGTAATCATAAGTTAGTTTCTGAAACACAACCACTTACCATTGTCATCCAGGTCAAAGTCATCCATGGAGTATCGCTCTGGTCCATAGGCCAGGAACACACTGTCATCTTTGAATAAGTCAGACAAATTAGTCACCTGGAGGTATATAAAATGGAAAATAAAAACTCATTAAGATGCTTCATAATTGTGCTTTGAGTAAATTTTTTGAAAGATCTCATATTTGACAGCTATATGCATTTGTGACTATTTCATGCATTACTTAGGACAGACTCCCGTTGTTTACAAGAGTTACGTAATTACGTAATTTTATTGTTCATATGATGTTACAAAATAGATCTACCCATATAGATACTACTGTCATGTTGCCAATTACAACATCTAGACCACAAAAATGTTTTTCTTTTTATGGCTTTCTATCTTCTTCTATTTCACTGACTGAATCAACATTTTCATTATCATCACTGAGGGAAATCCCTAGCTATAGGTACAGATTGGTGTTCTGTGGATAAAATCATTATCAGACCACTTGCAGAGAGTACAAGTACTTAGGGATATCTTTCTCCACCAGAGAAACACTGGTCTTAAAAGTGGCACTAAGTTAGGTCAACCTTTCTCTACTGGAAATAAGCCTTTAGGAGGTACTGAATAAAGTCGACCCATCTGCAATGGTGACAGGCCTTCAGCATAACTTTTTACAAAGAACTTCTTTCATTTAATATTTATGACAATGCTTTAAATGCATGTGAAATATTAATCAAAAAGATTTAACATTGTATCATAATATAAATCAATTTAAAGATCAAAAGGATGCAAAGATAATAATTGCAAAATGAGTCCAAAATCCAGGATAAAGCTTCGATTCCAGATGAGGCACTTGACATGATGTCAATGCAGATTCAAACTGTTATTTTTTATGATTAATATCATGATAAAAGAAACTAAGTTAAGAACAAAGACAGCACTCGAGGCTCATCCAAACTCCAAGAGAACAAAGAGTATTGATGTCACCCCAGAACTATACAAACATCTGTGAATCACTGTCTGGTGGATCAACCTGCCGTATTTGATCATCAAATACAGACAGTCATGCCTTGTGATGGAAGTTCAAACACAGACATTGACTTCATTTTATCCCCAATTACTTCCATAACTGTACAACTTCCCATTAATGCTGATTAGTTTTCATTTTAGACAATTCCAGGATCAATATGTTATGCATTTCTTCAAATAAAATACAGGCTTTTAAGGCAAGTTGTTTAAAGCAAGAATATGTAGGTGTATTGATTTAGATTTATCATAACAAAAATCAATGAAATGTTGTCTTTACAGAAATCATATTTCAGCCAAATTTCTATATATCATAAATCACTCAAAATGAGTCAGGATCTGATGCTTGGATTTGATTTAAAGTATGGTCTTCAAATCTATAATCAAATTCATAGGTAAAAAGTTTACTAATATTAACAAAATAAAATTAAATCCATCTGCCATTTTATGCTATATAAGGTTAAAAAGTAAAAATTGCTGCTTATAAATGAAATATATTTAATCAGAGTTTATGTACCAATTAATAAACAAGAACTAATAGTCTGACTATGCAGACATCAGTCCACAGAGGTTTGGATACCTCCATATTCACAAGCTATGAGGGTAAAATTAGTCTGCTCATCTCCATCCTAATGACTGCATCTAATGATATCTCAATTATTGAAACCTGATTAAGTTTAATATTGAGGGGGTCACCAAATGTTCACAGCTGACTGAATTTCCATTTTCACAGACATGTACATACAAGTAAGTATACTACTAGACTAAGTATTCCCGCATAGGAAATTACCTTAGGGATTGATTGCACTGGTACAAATGGAAAGGGGATATTAACACTTTGGTTTTAATTTTGGTTAATCATTTTTTGCTTTATGTGGGTTTTCTTTTTAATCATGTTCCTAATTACTCACCAGGGAGCAAACAGTGAACAGTGCATTTTTATCATGCTGCTATGAAAAACATAATATTATAATTATCTCTGCCACGGATGTTAAGTTTTCTTTTTTTGATGGTTTGTTACTGAACACCTTATAACTTTAGAAGTCATGGCAGAATTTGATAAAATTTTCAGAATAGGTCATAAATAGTCTAATTTAGACTCTATAAGATTTTGGAGGAAACCCATTAACCCATTAATCAAACTATTAATAAGAAGTCTCTCCATGCTTTTTTAGTTTGATTAAATATACAGTGGGCTTGTACTAGTAAAAAATAAACAAGTTCATAGTCAGAGAGACAAAAATGCTCAAGTCTTTGCCATTTCAACTAAATGAAACATTTAAAGTGCATGGCACATGCTTTATAATGATATGAATAACTAGTGTGCTCACATTATGGGCCTTTATTACAGGACTTTTATATCAACGCAATTCGGGTTTTCACTATAATTCAACTTAGTGTACCTGTATGACCATAGCTTAGAAGCTAACAATCATAAACAGATTTAATACCTGCTCTTATAACCTTAGGCTGTGAAATGCGCAAACAAATACTATAGACATATAATCTGCTCTCAAACATTGTAAACAAATACAAACATTATTTTCCTTATCAAAATCTACCTACTAAAACCATAAGGGCAATTCAGAAATCCCCCGTTTATCCACTCTTACCCTGCCAGTGACAAGTCATTTATTTCAGTGAAATTGTGCAAATAGTATTGAGTGATGTCAACAATTTCATTGTTGGTATCTATATGCTACTACCTGGTTAATTAGCTATATGTAAACATGCTACCTGAATTTCAAGTACAACATAGACACATATATAGTTTCCCTTATTATGTGTACAGGGTTGTTTGGTAATTTGTTTCTTATTGAATCTCATGTTTACTTTCAAGTATGCTTAGAGCAGTCTCTCTTGGCATCACCCACATTCTTTGCATCAAAATGTAGATTTTACATTATGTAAAGTAATTGATAAACACCACTGCGTACCAGTACTCAGTACATACACACGAAGAAAAAAACCTGGCAAATCAACAAACTGTGTAAATTTCTTCGTTTTTGTCATTATAAATTCAAAATCTTGATGCGTCCCTATTTGCCCTTCTACACCCGTCTTAAAGGATAATATTTAAAATGCTTCCTCCATCATATCATCACACCATATCACAATATTTCTCTTCAACTCTTTGCTGGTAAATCCAAACTTAACAACTCTGAACTGCACACAGAGCCCAATTCTTACGTACAATACAATCACATCCCCTTTCACAGTGACACCTAAGTTAGAATAACTTTAAATACCAAGCCCTTTGAAGCTTTGTTTACTTTCTAGTATTGTTGAGATTGGGTTGTATTGAAGGAGAAGTATATGCTTAGTGTGTACATAGTTTATTTACAAAGACCACACTTCAGAGGATGTAATATAAAACTAACAATTAGCCCAACCAAGCACTTACTTGTAGCTAAGGAAAGGTGAACTGATACAAAAGTTCACTTTCAATTTTTCTTGTGTGGTACAAATCAACTTCTTGTATACTGGCGTATAATTCATTTCCGTATTAACACTAACGAACTGCAAATTATACTTTATCTTTAATTTCCTTTGAGTGTAAAAAGTGATTAATATCGACTGCTTAACTGTCTGTAATGCTCAGCTGTTCTACTGCTGCTGAAAGTATTGCACCATTTAAGTCTGATTGTGTAAGGAGCCATTTTCCCCAATTTTTTGCTTGATTTTAACAACATTTTGTTAAGTATATTGGTTGATAACACATCTCACATGGCATCAGCCATTAGGGCCAAGTGCCCTTGATTTTACACTTTTAATTTGATCATTAATTTAATTGCAGATACTGTACCAAGTTGAACATTTTACTTAAAAAAAGCACTTGACCATGTGTTTCAATCATCGGTGTATCCTCAATGCCATTACCAAAATTATGCTGGAATTAGGTATGAATTCATTACAAACTGTTTATTGATGACCTAAATAGCTCTGAATTGAGTTTCAGTCAAAATCCAATGTAAACCTTCCATTTTGAGACAATGCCTTAATTCAGAATTTCAGCTATAAAATTTTAGCTGCAGCCAGGCCATTAAGCTTTTCCCAAGCTATCATATGTGCAGATTCTCATATGGAAAAAAAAAGGGAAAACAATTTATGGAACATTATGAGTCATACTCCGTATTAGCTATTCTTGGAGCCTTCCAGCAACTATTCACTAGAGAAGTGAGCAAAGTTCTTGCCTCAAAATAAAAATCAATTCTGAGTTTTTTTTTCAAATGAGATTTTGAGGCTGTACACTACATAAGTTTGCCATGGGCTTTGGGTTTCTGTGTTACTCAAAATGCTCCCACAATTACCTGATAAATATACTTCATCAACATAGTAGTGGGGATTGGGAATATTGGTGAAATGGCTAATTATTTGCAGTACGTGGCAGAGATTAAGATAAATAATTCAGATGAAAAGTGTGCACACAGACACTACATTGTTAATCCTAAATTAGCTCAAATAATGCCTTGTAGGGCTACATACTTGCTAACAAGGGCCTGGATTATATATGTAAGTCATCATTATTAGCCCTTTGGTAGCTGATTGTATGCAAAACATGTAGTATTTAATAGATATAATAATTTCATTCTAAATTATAGTGTGAATCTAATTTCAATTCAATCATCTCAGCCTTGAACAAGGAGCATTTTAAAGACCTTCTTTCAAACATTTTGTGATGATTTTCCTGCACTACCAATTATGTCAGAAGTGAAGTCAATCAAAAAGAAAACAAGTGCTGACAACTGGCATGCTACCCATTGCTATAAATAATGTATATGCTTCAATTATTGAGCTGTGACTGCCACAGCTAGATAGATAAGTTTGTTTGGACAAACTTTAGCTGCAAGGTATCAGTAATTGACCTTTCAAATAGGAAAACAATAGTTTTCTCTATAAAAACAGTAGTTCCTTTGGAGGCTGAACAGACTGCGTGGTACGTTGCCAGGCATATATTAACCAGTTACAACAAAAAATACCATTTTTTTTACTCATAATTTCTTTCTTTTCTTAATGAACATATTAACAGAAGTGCATCCATGGTAAATGCTTCTGATTGTCCATCCTTTTTCTACCATTCACTAATTTAGGTTACAGCCAGCCTATGTACAGCACTGGATTAACAGCCTTAGGATGCGTTTTTTTCCCAACAAAGTTAACTTTTTATCTACATATGTGGTCAACTCCAGCATGTATGGGTAACCATATCAAAACTTAGAGGATGGATAAATATCATAAACAGATACAAAAAATCCAAATAATCAAAAGTCAAAAATCAAAGATTTAATTATATCTGCAATGTCTTAAAGTAAACTAACCTGTCTTCCATCCAAAGTGAAAATCTTTCTCACAGCACCAGTGTCCAGTTTGATTGCCTCAGTAACATCATTCAGGACTTGTTCGAAGGAGTGAGCAGTCTTCTTATTTAAAAGAATCCTCACGGCTTTTCTCGGTTTTGTTCCATTGCGTATGATGGTGACCAACTTTGGTCGTATGTAATTCTTGAACTCATCCTGTGTTTCTGGCCTTGGAGGGGCGGGGGTATTGGACGCTGAGGCTCCCTCATGAGCTTGCCCAGTTGCCGGGCTGCGGACATTGGGATTCCAATTGGGCGTCCAGCATTTAGAGTAATCAACTCTTCTAAATGCATCTGTTGATGCACAAACATAATTTTCTCCCTCCTCCAGCTGGTCAAGATGTGTTATCTTCTTGGATCCATCAATGGAAAAAACATGGCGCACACCACTAGGAAGCACATTCTTATCACACAGCGGACTACTCGTCAGCTCAGCCAAAAGAGATTCAAAAGTCCGAAAACGCTCAGGCGACACAGCATATATCATTCCTTTGAAGAAGCGATCACCATTGCGGTAGAATCGCACTTTCTTGGCACGTTTTTCTTCACTGATGCGAATGATGCTGGAGCGTATGAGACTCCCATGGGCACTATGTGTGGGGCTGATACGCCCGCCTGCTCCGGCACTCTGACGGGAACCAACACGCCGACTGAAACGGTCTTCTGAGGGTGGAAAGTGTTCATCCATGGCACTACTGCTGTAATAATCCACCATATTTTTTCTCTCTTAGGATGGTGGGTGTTTTGGATCCCCTGTAAAATAGATGTTACTGAAAAAGCAAATAAATACAATAAATGTTCAGTTGATTAAATGCCTTATGGTAATATTGTCCTTATGTGTGATCCCTGAAAGATATTTATTCTTCACTTTATTTACTATTAAATTGACATAATTATTAATATCTGTTTCTAAATAAGTAAACATCTTCAAAACCATATGCCACATTGTGTGCCGCACTTGTGATAACAAATATTATAAGAAAGAATCATGATAATAATCTATGTACATATAGTAATTCAAATGCAATAATGTATCACCAACATGTACTTTCAAAGATTTTACATATATTCTCCCAAATTGAAAGTCATCACTTGCACACCTTGCCTTAGTGTGCCAGTAAACTTAATTATTAGTAATTTGATCGCAGTGGCAATTAAACCCACTTGCCACGGCGTCTTTGTTTACCTACAATTATCAATTCACAGAGCACGCACGTCTGCGCGTGGGATCTGCTCCGAGTCGTCTACTGGTATTAAGTGTCTGAGTTGAGCCTAGGAACTACTGGCAAAACCCACACAAAAGAAAAACGCCAGTAGATCGATGTTTAACTGCTCATAGCAAATCGTTAGAAATCAAGTTAACGCACTCTTAACCGAATCAATATTGTACACTAATTCTAAAAATCTATCCTTAACTGCGGTAAAAAATCTTTTCCATAAGTGGCTTTTTTTGTGGAGAGAAAAAAATACAAAAAAAAAGCTCACCGCTCCACGTCCAGTGCAGCTGCCTCTTCCTACCCAGTCGTAAAAAGTGACTCAACTGAATGTACGGCTCCGATGAATAAGCCGCGCACGCTGGCGTCTCCTGGGAAGATATTATTCAACTAATGTATTATCCAGCCATACGGCACACTCACTCTTAATAAATTCAGTTCTGTCTGAGAAAAATATCGATCGCCCTACTAGGGATTCCAGCATCAGCACTTCGAGCATGTTGTTAGGCTTAGCAACATGCTAGCCTCGATTTGAATTTCGAGGGAAATTACTACACATCCGGGTAATTGCAGGAATTCCCTCATATTTCTATTTTTAGAATTATAACTCTACGATCTTCTTTCGTTATAGTGGGAACAACGAAATGGGACCAGGAATTAAAAAAAAAAAAAAGCATTTTCCCCATTTTTGGCTTTTATTCCATTATGTACATGAAATCTATTTTATCTACATAATATGTTATTTGTTTCAAACCAACGGAGCAAAAAAATCGCATTTTGTACCAAAACGATATACACGCCCTTGTCAACAACAATAACCATACAGCACACATGTTCAATTACGACTATATACACCAACATTTCACTTGATTACATGTAAAACATTTAGTTGATTACCAACTTGTTTGGGAAAATGAAAATAACTATATATTAAGTCTCGGCTTTTTGAAAGGTGAGTTAATTATTAAGTAATGTATAAATATACATCATATATTTACCAATGTTTAACTTACAGCTTAATTTCCCAAAACAATAATAAAATGCATTTTGAATGATAAAAAAATTCATCATATTTATTAATTTAAAACTTTATGTCAAAATGCAACTTATTTACCTAGAAATGAACTAAAATATTTAAAATATCACTTTTTCACAAAGCAAAATTCATTTTCAAGAAAACAACCTGCAAAAAAAAAAANAGATACAGAAAGTTTATCAGTAAAGAAGAATTCTGGTAAATCTGACAACAATTCTTAAATATGTAACAATATAAAATTAATGCATTTCTAATGCTATGCCTGGCATAAAAAAGCCATGTCAAAAAACCTCAATATGCAGGAAAACAAAAAATTGATACTGTGAATATCTCAGGCAATTCATGCATATACAATTTAATTCAATACAAGCAGGTATGCTACAAGAAATTTAAATATAACTCAAAATTGCTACACTACAACCTTCTGAATTAAATATAAGCAAAATTGGTGAACATGGCCAAAAGCATTAAGTGAAAAAAAATAATAAAGAAAATCAAAATATGATAAATTAATCAATAAAGTTATCATTAAGAAATAAAAACACAAATGCAAATAATGTATCTGATTCCCTATTCTGATAAGAAAAAAATATTCTTAGTTTTCTGAGTGAGACACTATTTCAAATTCTGGAGTATCAAAGTCACTCCTTGGCTCCTGTTTAATTATTATAGTCTTTGGAGCCATTTCTGGGTTTTCAGGTCCCACATCTGGTTGTTTTGTATTAGATTCAACCGAGAATCTAGCACCTGTTGGTACTTTTTCCATGATTGCACTTTTATCCTCCACAATAGTGAATCCCTCAGTTATTCCTAATTCTTGGCGTCTCTTCGCATCTAAAATACACAAGTGGATTTGTTTTCTATGAAATCATATCAATGCAAAAATATTCTATTTAACAACCAAACTGCATTTTCTAAAATTTCAACTTGTCTTCGTCACTTGAACATCTTCAAATTAAACAAAATGGAATAAGAGGGAGAAGATGTGAGGGGCAAAAGGAGGTTTGACCCCTCTTTTCCTCATCAGATTTCTTGGGGTACATTTGCATTTGCAAGCACGATTTCTAACCCCTCTTCCAAAGTCTTTTGACCCCTTAGTAAAATCCCAGCCCTGCTTCAGGGGAGAAATGCAGACTGACTTTATCAGTAAACAGTGACATAATGGTTTTTTAACATTAGTAGAGAAACTTAAAACATACAGTCCACTTTGCATAACACTATCTTTTAATACTGACAATTTTCTGTTTCACTCGAGGATTTCCATTCCAAAAGGTGTCCAATTAATGTAAAATCTACTGTGCTTAGATCTGTTCGAGGCATATATGGTTTAATCATGTTCAGTATGTCTCTTACAGTGTGTGCCTGTGTGTGTGTGCATGCATGTGTGTAAAATTAGAGAAAAGACAAGACCCCTTTTCTTCCTGCACTTTTTATTCATAAAAATTAAATAGCTGACTCACCTTTTATTTTGAACAATTTATTTTTCAGAAATTCCTGCTGCTTCGTATGTAGACGTATTTGATTTTGCAGTTCTGCATCTTTTCTCACCAGTTGATCAATTAACTGAATGGCCTAAAATAAATATCATTCATATAAAATAGCTTTTTTTATAAAGTCTGATATCATATGTACACTAGCAAAGTTGTATATTAAGAATTAGGAAAGGTATTAAAAGAGAAAGACAACAACCTGCCATTTTTACCCAACATTTCTCCCAATTTAAACTGAAGTAAAAGACATAACTCCAGGGCTGAGAAGTAATCCTTAGAGAAAGCATGACTTCAGATGTTCATTGATGGTGAGAATATGAAAGAAGATCAATTTATGATGATTTGAAATAAAATCCCCTTTTCCAAATATCTCTCGGGGATGATTGAAAGTGCCCACAGTATAATGTGCTTAAAGATCAACTTAACTTCAAAAAATTTGATATCCAGGAACTGCATCATTGGTGTCTATGTTCAAAATTTTATAAATTTAAAAATAATTTAAAATTAATACAAACAGATTACACATACCCCATTCAATACATTAATTTTTGAGATCTTTTCATCCAATTCATCTGGGTAGACAATCTGTTTTAAATCTTTAAACTTGTACATCAATTCTGTCCTCCTGGCACGCTCTCTGAAGAAGTAGATAATTTTATTCAATTTCACTTTAAAGTAAAGTCTATCAGCACTTTTACCACAGACTCATCTTTTAATTGAGAGCAAATTGAGATATCATAAAGAAATATATTAACTCACTGTAACTCTTGAAAATTTATCAAAGGAGTAAAATTACACGTTGTAAATGATANCCTTAAATATGTAACAATATAAAATTAATGCATTTCTAATGCTATGCCTGGCATAAAAAAGCCATGTCAAAGAAACCTCAATATGCAGGAAAACAAAAAATTGATACTGTGAATATCTCAGGCAATTCATGCATATACAATTTAATTCAATACAAGCAGGTATGCTACAAGAAATTTAAATATAACTCAAAATTGCTACACTACAACCTTCTGAATCAAATATATGCAAAATTGGTGAACATGGCCAAAAGCATTAAGTGAAAATAAATAATAAAGAAAATCAAACTATGATACATTAATCAATAAAGTTATCATTAAGAAATAAAAACACAAACGCAAATAATGTATCTGATTCCCTATTCTGATAAGAAAAAAATATTCTTAGTTTTCTGAGTGAGACACTATTTCAAATTCTGGAGTATCAAAGTCACTCCTTGGCTCCTGTTTAATTATTATAGTCTTTGGAGCCATTTCTGGGTTTTCAGGTCCCAAATCTGGTTGTTTTGTATTAGATTCAACTGAGAATCTAGCACCTGTTGGTACTTTTTCCATGATTGCACTTTTATCCTCCACAATAGTGAATCCCTCAGTTATTCCTAATTCTTGGCGTCTCTTTGCATCTAAAATACACAAGTGGATTTGTTTTCTATGAAATCATATCAATGCAAGAATGTTCTATTTAACAACCAAACTGCATATTCTAAAATTTCAACTTGTCTTTGTCACTTGAACATCTTCAAATTAAACAAAATGGAATAAGAGGGAGAAGATGTGGGGGGCAAAAGGAGGTTTGACCCCTCTTTTCCTCATCAGATTTCTTGGGGTACATTTGCATTTGCATGCGATTTCTAACCCCTCTTCCAAAGTCTTTTGACCCCTTAGTAAAATCCCAGCCCTGCTTCAGGGGAGAAATGCAGACTGACTTTATCAGTAAACAGTGACATGATGGTTTTTTAACATTAGTAGTGAAACTTAAAGCATACAGTCAACTTTTCATAACACCATCTTTTAATACTGACAATTTTCTGTTTCATTCAAGGATTTCCATTCCAAAAAGTGTCCAATTAATGCTTAGATCTGTTCGAGGCGTATACGGTTTAATCATGTTCAGTATGTCTCTTACAGCGTGAGCCTGTGTGTGTGCATGTGTGTAAAATTAGAGAAAAGACAGGACCCCTTTTCTTCCTTCACTTTTTATTCATAAAAATTAAAAAGCTGACTCACCTTTTATTTTGAACAATTTATTTTTCAGAAATTCCTGCTGCTTCGTATGTAGGCGTATTTGATTTTGCAGTTCTGCATCTTTTCTCACCAGCTGATCAATTAATTGAATGGCCTAAAATAAATATCATTCATGTAAAATAGCATTATTTATAAAGTCTGATATCATATGTACACTAGCAAAGTTGTATACTAAGAATTAGGAAAGGCATTAAAAGAGAAAGACAACAACCTGCCATTTTTACCCAACATTTCTCCCAATTTAAACTGAAGTAAAAGACATAACTCCAGGGCTGAGAAGTAATCATTAGAGAAAGCATGACTTCAGATGTTCATTGATGGTGAGAATATGAAAGAAGATCAATTTATGATGATTTGAAATAAAATCCCTTTTTCCAAATATCTCTCGGGGATAATTGAAAGTGCCCACAGTATAATGTGATTAAAGATCAACTTAACTTCAGAAAATATGATATCCAGGAACTCATGCATCATTGGTGTCTATGTTCAAAATTTTATAATTTTAAAAATAATTTAGATTCACATACCCCATTCAATACATTAATTTTTGAGATCTTTTCATCCAATTCATCTGGGAAGACAATCTGTTTTAAATCTTTAAACTTGTACATCAATTCTGTCCTCCTGGCACGCTCTCTGAAGAAGTATATAATTTTATTCAATTTCACTTTTAAGTCAAGTCTATTAGCACTTTTACCAGATACTCATATTTTAAATGAGAGCAAATTGAGATATCATAAAGAAATATATTAACTCACTGTATCTCTTGAAAAATTATCAAAGGAGTAAAAGTACACATTGTAAATGATAAAAAAAAATTCAATATATAATGTTTTTTATGCTTTTCCATAGAAAATGATCAACTGAACCAACTTAACAACCTCCCCTGTTCCCCCCCAAAAATACTGATCATTTGAATTTCATTATTTTGCCCTTTCAATCAAATATCTGAATTGTTCAGAGCAGAACTTAGATGCACAGAATTTTGGTCAGCATAGTAAAAATCAAGTTTTCCCTTCAATCTGCCTTACCTAGTCATGTGTATTTTTTTATCCAAGCGGATGTATGACGGTGCCTTTACACCCTCAATCATAACCAGTTCCTGAAAGAAAACAACCATATTAGTTTGGTAAAAGGAGACAAGCAAAACTAACACTGGTATCTAAAATCTGTTTCAAGAATTTGAAATGTAATAATTACCATTGGCAAAAAAATATCAACATTATAACTGACTCTGACATTTTAATCATTTTTCATCTTTTTTTACATCCTTTTTATTTAACTCTTATTATTACTATCATAATTTAATTAGGTCATCCATTTAATTAATTTAACAATTCACTCTCCAATTATTTCAATTCCCATCATCTATCCAGTTCAATATGTAGTGGGCATCTTCCATCCACCCCTTTTGAAATCCACCTGACTTAACTTGGTCAATAAATGAATAAGTGTTTTTTTTTTCAAATATGTAACCTTTATTCCCTTAATTCAATTTGGCTGCAGAATTCTTGCTCACTGCCTCAATATGGCTGTCCTCATACCTCTGTGAACTCCACCTGGTGAGTAAGCTGCTTGGCCTGGATGGGAGACTTTCGTTTATTCCTCTTAACACTCACTGCTGCACCAGGACCCACCACTGCATCGTGGTTTACCATCATGCGCAGTCGGGTTGCCTCTGTCTCTTCATAAGTCTCTATGTCTATCTCCTCACTGTCATACTGCAGTTGTATCAAAAATAAAATATACAAGACCTTAGCGGAAGCTACATTTAGATGGCTTATAATCAACAAAAAAACAAGTAAAATATTGTCATAACATTAATTAAGATTAAATAATCTCAACAGAGTTGATCCTTAATCTCCTCAAGATTGTGCATTTTATAGTTTTAAAAATTGACACTACTCATATATGTATTCATATATTCCAATATTTCATAAAGACTTAAAAAATGCATTTAAAAACCCTCTGCAAACTAACCATTATATTCTTTTCGTGCAAATACTGCAATCAGTGTACCAAGCAAGAACTATGACAAACTTTCAAACATCCATTAAATGCTACCCCACAATACCAAATAAAATATATCAAGACATCATTTTATAATAAAAATCTACTGACCTCGCTGTCCGACGACAGACCAGGGGAGCTAGACCGGCTTAGAGCTGGGGATGTAGCAGGCACTGCCGACACCTTCTTGATTTGTGGCAACGGTACAGGAGATTCAACACGAACCTCTTGTTTTGACTTGCGTTTTGATGCCCTGCTTGCAGGCTGTACTACTGCCGGGGAATTAGAAGTTGTGGATGTACTGGAAGCAGTAGTGACATTTGGTTCTGGCACAGTAGGTAAATCCTCTTTTTGTCCCTGTGGTTTGTTGGCACCAACAGGACCATGTGCACTTTGTTTATAAACTGGTTTTGACATTAAAACCACACTTTCATCTTCACTGGTCTCACTTTCTTTTAAAATTTCTTTCCTGACTTCCCGATTGACACTCTCACCCCTCTTGTCGACTTCTCCAACATCCTTTGTACAGGTAGCATCATTAGAATCTACCGCATCTTCCTTTTTCGCCTCTTCTCTCTTCTCAGCATTGCCAGCATCTTCCAATTTATCATCAATCCTCACAGGGGCAACATCTCCAGCTCCAACCTCTCCATCCTCATCACTGCTCTCGTCAGCTTGGGCCTGACGCACTGTTATCACCTCACCTGTGGTATCATCAAAGAACTTGAAGTCTAATATCTCTTCATTGAATTCTGCAGTATCCTCTTCCGCCCCAGCCAGTTTGGTTTTTTTACTAGGTGCTTTATCAGCCTCCATTTCTGCATCAGATGCAGATCGTTTCTGATTTTTGTTAGGGAATTGCATCGAGCTCTGGTCTACAGGGGTGCTGTTGGTGGTGGTGGTGGTGGTGGTGGTAGTGGTGGTGGTGGTGGTAGCGGTGGAGTCCTTTATGCTATGGGTTGTGGTCTGAGGAAGAGAGGTCTGGTTCATAGGTGCCATGTGGGTTGAGGAGCTGCTACCTGTGACTGTAGTCTTGATGGCAACTTCTGAAGGAAGCTGGTTCCCAATGGTACTGTTGACACCAACCAAATCTTGACCAAGGGAGGTCAGTGTATGAGGTAGAGAGGTGACCTGGTTCAAAGTTGGCTTGTTTAAGATGCTGCCAATGATGGAAGTGTTGGAATTGCCTGTTGGAGAAATCTTAGAGGCCGTGGTATTCTTGGCATTGGCAGAAACTGGCTCAGTTGAGGCCACAGTCTGAGGTAACGAGGTAACTGGCTGCACAGTTGCCTTGTTTGAGGAGATGCTTTCAGTGGTGGTAGTTTTGGATGCATCTGTTTGAACAGTGGAATTCTTGTTCTGGGCAGAATCTTGCTCAACTGGGATTGTGACTTTTGAAGATACATGTTCCTTTGGAGTCATGGTAGTCCCGACAGTATTCACTGTGTTTGTGTCAGCCTCTCTACTTGGCTCACCAACAGGGATGTTTACAGTGTGTGCTTTTATCTTTTTGGGATTTCCCCCTTGGGCAATGGAAAGATTACCATCGGATGCTACAGTGGCAGAAAAGATAATATGCTTGTTTCCGACTGCTGTGAAGGGGCTATTAGCTTCAGTTACTGAGGNCATCGGCATCGGCATCGGCATCGGCATCGCCATCGGCGACGACGGCGACGACAGACGCAGGTGATGGCAATATGTACAGACACATCTGTGTCTGTACATAAAAATATAAAATGTTTATTACACTTTTCCATAGAAAATGATCAACTTAACCAACCAACTTAACAACCTCCCCCTAAAATACTGATCATTTGAATTTCTGATTTTGCCCTTTCATTCAAATCTTTGAATTGTTCAGAACAGAATTTAGATGCACAGAATTTTGGTCAGCATAGTAAAAATCAAGTTTTCCCTTCAATCTGCCTTACCTAGTCATGTGTATTTTTTTATCCAAGCGGATGTATGACGGTGCCTTTACACCTTCAATCATGACCAGTTCCTGAAAGAAAACAACCATATTAGTTTCACTGGTAAAAGGAGCAAGCAAAACTAAGACCCCATTCCCATAGATTTTAGATAGATCTATCCCTGTGGGGAGTCTCACTAGATTACTGTCAGCTTAGCCGGCTTAAGAATCTGTCCCGCCTATTAAAAGCTGAAAGGGGGAAATTACCTATGGTGCGCACTCAGCTGACTGCAATTTAGCGTGAACCCCCAGGGACTTAGGTCGATCTAAATCTAAATCTCTGGATCGATCTAAATCTCTTGGAATGCACCCTAACACTGGTAGCTAAAATCTGTTTCAAGAATTTGAAAAGTAAGAATTACCATTGGCAAAAAATATCAACATTATAACTGACTCTGGCATTTTAATCATTTTTCATCTTTTTTACATCCTTTTTATTTTACTCTTATTATTATTATTATCATAATTTAATTAGGTCATCCATTTAATTAATTTAACAATTTACTCTCCATTTATTTCCATTCCCATCATCTAATCCACTTCATTATTCCATCCACCCCTTTTGAAATCCAACTTGGTCGATAAATGATTGTTTTTGTTTTTTTCAAATATGTAGCCTTTATTCCCTTAATTCAATTTGGCTGCAGAATTCTTGCTCACTGCCTCAGGCTAAGGCTGTCCTCATACCTCTGTGAACTCCACCTGGTGAGTAAGCTGCTTGGCCTGGATGGGAGACTTTCGTTTATTCCTCTTAACACTCACTGCTGCCCCAGGACCCACCACTGCCTCGTGGTTTACCATCATGCGCAGTCGGGTTGCCTCCGTCTCTTCATAAGTCTCTATGTCTATCTCCTCACTGTCATACTGCAGTTGTATCAAAAATAAAATATAGAAAACCTTAGTGGAAGCTACATTTCGATGACTTACAATCAACATAAAAACAAGTAAAATATTGTCATAACATTAGTTAAGCTTAAATAATCTCAACAAAGTTGATCCTTAATCTCCTCAAGATTGTGCATTTTATAAAGTTTAAAAAATTGACACCACTCATATATGTATTCATATAATTCAATATTTCATAAAGACTACAAAAAATGCACTGTAAAACCCTCTGCAAACTAACCATTATATTCTTTTCATGCAAATACTGCAATCAGTGTACCAAGCAAGAACTTCTACAAACTTTCAAACATCCATTAAATACTACCCAACAATTCCAAATAAAATATATCAAGACATCATTTTATCATGAAAATCATTAGTCTACTGACCTCGCTGTCTGATGACAGACCAGGGGAGCTTGACCGGCTTAGTGCTGGGGATGTAGCAGGCACTGCCGACACCTTCTTGATTTGTGGCAACGGTACAGGAGATTCAACACGAACCTCTTGTTTTGACTTGCGTTTTGATGCCCTGCTTGCAGGCTGTACTACTGCCGGGGAATTAGAAGTTATGGATGCACTGGAAGCAGTAGTGACATTTGGTTCTGGCACAGTAGGTAAATCCTCTTTTTGTCCCTGTGGTTTGTTGGCACCACTAGGACCATGTGCACTTTGTTTATAAACTGGTTTTGACATTAAAACCACACTTTCATCTTCACTGGTCTCACTTTCTTTTAAAATTTCTTTCCTGACATCCCGATTGACACCCTCACCCTTCTTGTCAACTTCTCCAACATCCTTCGTACATGCAGCATCATTAGAATCTACCACAGCATCTTTTTTCACCACTTCTCTATTCTCAGCCTTGCCTGCATCTTCCGATTCATCATCAATCCTCACAGGGGCAACATCTCCAGCTCCGACCTCTCCATCCTCATCACTGCTCTCCTCAGCTTGGGCCTGATGCACTGTTATCACCTCACCTGTGGTATCATCAAAGAACTTGAAGTCTAATATCTCTTCATTGAATTCTGCATTACCCTCTTCTGCCCCAGCCAGTTTGGTTTTTTTACTAGGTGCTTTATCAGCCTCCATTTCTGCATCAGATGCAGATCGTTTCTGATTTTTGTTAGGGAATTGCATCGCGCACTGGTCTACAGGGGTGCTGGTGGTGGTGGTGGTGGTGGTGGTAGTGGTGGAGTCCTTTATGCTATGGGTTGTGGTCTGAGGAAGAGAGGAGGTCTGGTTCATAGGTGCCATGTGGGTTGAGGAGCTGCTACCTGTGACTGTAGTCTTGATGGCAACTTCTGAAGGAAGCTGGTTCCCAATGGTACTGTTGGCACCAACCAAATCTTGACCAAGGGAGGTCAGCGTATGAGGTAGAGAGGTGACCTGGTTCAAAGTTGGCTTGTTTAAGATGCTGCCAATGATGGAAGTGTTGGAATTGCCTGTTGGAGAAATCTTAGAGGCTGTGGTATTCTTGGCATTGGCAGAAACTGGCTCAGTTGAGGCCACAGTCTGAGGTAACGAGGTAACTGGCTGCACAGTTGCCTTGTTTGAGGAGATGCTTTCAGTGGTGGCAGTTTTGGATGCATCTGTTTGAACAGTGGAATTCTTGTTCTGGGCAGAATCTTGCTCAACTGGGATTGTGGCTTTTGAAGATACATGTTCCTTTGGAGTCATGGTAGTCCCGACAGTATTCACTGTGTTTGTGTCAGCCTCTCTACTTGGCTCACCAACAGGGATGTTTACAGTGTGTGCTTTTATCTTTTTGGGATTTCCCCCTTGGGCAATGGAAAGATTACCATCGGATGCTACAGTGGCAGAAAAGATAATATGCTTGTTTCCGACTGCTGCGAAGGGGTTATTAGCTTCAGTTACTGAAGTCATAGTGGTAGTGGTAGTAACACCTAGACTGTGTTCTGGTTTCTTCTGACTCATTGTGCTTGCTTTACTTGCAGTGAGTGTAGTACTTTTAATAGGAGTAGTAGTAGAAACCTTAGGAGTAAGGAGTATCACGGATTGGCCAGAGGCACCTATGGCACCCTGTAACCCTGGTGCCTTATTTATTAGGGGACTCTGACTTGCTGTTGGAAGTAGAAGTGAACTAGATGTTTTTTTATTGCCTGAACTGTAAGTTAATGGTATGGCATACTGCCCATTGGCCAGTCTGATAGCCCCCTGCATGCTCTGGAGGACCTTCAATGGGAGAACTGGTGCTGCTGTCCTCGTTTGTTGTTCTAAAATGACAAAATATAAAATACTGAGCTTTAATACTAATAGGAAATTTTGCAGCCAAATGTTGTTATACTTGTGAACAACATCTTTGTATGCAAAGAATACCCACTTAAAATAGCATGCTTGGCATTTGAGGATTTTGTGAAATTGAAACCATGCACAGATGGGAACATGGATTTTGACTGTACCTCTTGGGTAAAAAACTTTACAATTTATTTTCAAGTATTACAATATACCTGAGGGTGGCAAAGGCACCAAATGTACAACTTCCTTTCCTGTCTCCTTGGTACTGCTGTCCACCCTCATCATTGGCATCAAATGCTGGGGATTCACAGGAATTAGAAGTGGACTCACTTTGGCAGTCCCACTGACAGGGATAAGAAGCTTTGTTACAGCATTGGAATTCTTGGCCACCTTGGACCTAGATGTCTTCTTTGGAGTGGTCAACCCTTTAGGCTGTGGAATTTTACTTACAATAGATGGCTGTCCACTTGTGTTCATAACTACCAAATGCTGCCCTGTGCAAACTACAGGCTGCTGGGTAATGACTGTAGCAGCCTGTTGACCACTGGTAAGTAATGACTGCTGACCACTGAACATTCCAGATTTGGATGTTGTGGAAGTGGATGTTGCTTGGTTGAGCTTTGCTGTGGCACCAATAGTGGAAGTGGAGGCCCCTACATGCTGCATGGTGTTTCCAGAGATTGCACTTACTGTAGTTGTAATCATGGTATGAGCAGCAGCCCCCACTGAAGTAGAAGCAGCAGCAGAACTGACAGCTGATTCTAAGATCTTCGCAACCAGTGCTCCCATTCCATCCAGATGCTTAGCCATCTCTTGAGGATTCTCTGTTTTACAACTGGTATCATTTGGACTGCTGTTGGTAGACATGGCTTCAGGTTGGGGCTGCTGCATGGGTTTACTGCTGTCACTTGAACCGGCAGATGCACCTTCAGCAGCCTGCTGCCCTGGTGTCACTTGTGGCTTGGTTTGAATTGACACTGGAATAGGCTGAATACTGGAGTCTTCCTCCATGACTGGCAAACCCTGCTGCTTCATGGCTGACATCACTGTTTGTCCAGGGGCAACAGATACCTGGATTTTCACGATTGTTGTCTCTATCCTTGGGGGCTTTCCTGGACCCTGTGGCACTGTAGCTTTAATCAACAATGGAACAGGCACTACTTGTATTCCAGAACCAGAGCTATTACCAGTACCACTGGCACCAGTGACACCAAGGAGACTTGTGCTACTGGCATTACTAGAACTGGTGTTACCAGATTCTTTGCCTACAGTAGAAAGATCTGTCGGCAAAGCTGTTTTACTGCCTGTTAACACTGGTGCCACAGATGTGGTCTGTGGCAACTGCTGAGCTGAAACAAGATGCACTGGTGCTGCCCCCTGCTGTGAAGATACTAGCTGTACTGGTGCAGCCCCCTGCTGACCAGCCATAAGCTGAACTGGTGCTGCCCCCTGGGGGCATACCACATTAAATGGTGCTGTCCCCTGCTGGCTGGACACCAGATGTATTGGTGCTACCCCCTGCTGTGAGGGTACCAGTTGTATTGGTGTTGCCCCCTGTTGGCTAGACACCAGCTGAATTGGTGTTGCCCCCTGTTGGCTAGACACCAGCTGAATTGGTGTAGCCCCCTGTTGGCTAGACACCAGCTGAATTGGTGTAGCCCCTTGTTGGCTAGACACCAATTGAATTGGTGTTGCCCCCTGTTGAGAAGAAACTAGTTGTACTGCTGCTGCACCCTGCTGGCCTGACACCAGCTGAATTGGTGCTGCCGCCTGCTGAGATCTCAGTGCCTCAGAGGACAAGAGCTGGACTGGTACAGGTTCTGGGGCTACTGATGTGCTGACCTCACCATTATTTTGACTCTTGGGAATTTCTGAAATAAACACAAAGACCCTTGTGAATATATGTTTGAAATAGATATGCTCAAAGTGAATAAAAATAAAGCAATGTCATGTACACAGCAAAATAATTTTATGTATCATGTTTTCAAGTTTCATAAAAGGGTATTAAAAACTCCAAATTTCATTATTTATGTTCTTATTGCCCATACTTACTCATATATGTATAAACTGGTGAAACATTTTCATTTATGCTGAATGTGCTATAACCCGCACATTGTTAAAATTAATATATATATATATTAGTGCTTCTGTATTTAAGTTGACAACACTTCAGGGAAAAGATGACAATGTTCAGAGATATATCTTCATACCTGATATAGATGGGAGCACACCAGGAAGGCCAAAACCTTGAACAACAACAGGAGCTGGTAAAATGGGTTTTTCAGTGGGAGGCTCCTTCACAAGGTTTATATCCCCAGCAGCAGTAGGGCCAGCCCCTATCTGCGCCTTGATCTTGTCCAGAGCAGTGACACCTTGTGGTGGCTTTGACATTTGCATCTTCTTTATACGCAGCAGTTCAGAGGCTGTCATTGGCCTAGGTTTATCTAAAGAAGGGCATCCGTTAAACACAATTGCCTTTCGTTTTTGGATACTGTAACAGTTTGTTGCACATGAACATACGAGATTTGTTAATTACTTTTTTTCCTTTTTTTTTCAAGTTGACGCTACTTCAAATTCAGAAAATATGATCAGAAAATGAACAAAACTGACTGCATCATATAAGCTATGATAGTTTCAGTTGTTATCAGTCATATTTCAATTTTGACTACTCTACACTACAATCTCCTTAAAATAGACTTCTTCAGTATCTTTCCCTGAACTCCTTTTAACACTCTTAGTAAAAGAATAAAAACTGGGGTTTCTTCTGAAGTACTTTAAAAATCTAACTAAAAAAAAACAGATCTGCCAAAAAAATTTGATTCAGGGGGAATTTCCTTTTTGGTAAAGATAAAAAAAACATAAAAAAGCAGCTCAATTACAAATTATTTGCATTTCAATATTGTATTGATAAAATCCTGCAAGATGTCTTCAGGGGGCTACAGACATGTTACATTGTCATATCAACTTTTCAGAGCTTCCTCATTCAATGTAAGTTAATTGTTGGTTTAAGAAACTAACAGCTTAAAATACAGCTGATAAAATACTTTAATATAAAAAATAATAAGTATTTTTTCAAACGTTTTTAAGCCCACATATTATACCTTTCTTTGCCTTCTCATCCGCCATCTCTCTGTCAGTCTTCTCCACCTCTATGTCCTCCTCCTCGCCGCTCTCCTCACCACCTATGGGTCCGATAGACAGCTTGGTGGAGCGCGATGGGGAGATCCCCTTGTTCATCACACCACCCGTGTGAATCCTAAAGTGACTCAGGCCTGATATAGAGGGGGGTGGTGCCACCCTGTTCGTGGGTGGTGGGGTACTTGGGGCATTTGTTCTTGAAACGGAAGTTGCACTTGCTGGTTTAACATTATCCTTGGGTTCCTCTTTCTTTTCTGCCATCTGTTTCAGCATCAAGTTAAACTTAGTTTTTTCCTTTTTCAAAACTTCTTTGTAGTTTGGCAGCAGCTTGCTTATCTTAACTCGTATGGGATACATCTCTTTGCCCAGCTTGCTCTGGAGTCTGTATGGAATAGCAGTAGGTTTTGCTCCTTTTGGTTGTATTTCCACCACATACTCTCCCACTAGCATACTGACAGGGTCTGGGGACACAGTATGACCAGGAGGCACATACTTGGCAATACTGTTCAAAATGTTCTGTCGGTTCATTCCCCACTTACAATTCGACTTAATTTGCAACAAGCGTGACATTTGTTGATCTACTGTGTTATCACCCGCAGTGGCGCCATCTTTTGAGCTGTCACCTACAGAAGTGGTGCTACCTGAAGACTTGTCATCTGAACTGCCTAGAGTAGTGGTGCCATCTTTTGAGCCATCCTCCTTGCTTTGCTTGGGTTCAAGCAGAACCATTTGAGATGAGTAAGTCCCAACTTCAAACATCTTCTGACTCAGGACTTTCTGCATGGATGGAATTTCTGCTGCACTCCTATAAAGGTATCAGATATGCTTTCCTTAATATTTGTTCAATTGTAAATATGTGTTTACAATATTCCCCATTTATTATAAAACACCATATTGATGCAATGCAACATAACCTACAAAGATTTTTTAATACAAACTGTCAAAGTGGAAATGCCATTATGATTGTATAATTTTCTCAAAACCGTAAGAATTTAACTGTTGCCAATGCTCCAAACACCTAGAGCAGTTAAAATGCCTTTATTTAGGGTAAAATAAGGTAAGAAATGACTGATGATACAAGAACAGATTCCAAGCATAAAAAGCACCTGGCTATTGGACACCAAAGCAATTGCTTGACTCACATTTTACTATTTTCTTTATTAGAATCAGTATTAGCACTTGTCTTGTCCTCAACAGTCTTCTTCATATCTTTCTTATGTGATTTCTTCAACTTTTTCCTCTCTTGTTCTTTGGCATTTCCTTCACTCTGTACTTTCTGTATACTCTTTTCAGTTCCAGCAACATGTCTGCAAAACAAAAATCGAGAATAAGAGAGGTATGACCACCTTCTTTTAAATTATCAATGACCACACTGGGATAATACCACAGTTCATAATTAATTTGAACAATACTTACTGGCAACATAACAAGACAAAAGGTTGTGAGCAGTTTTTAATGTCAGATTACTTTTGAAGATTAGCATTTTTAAACACAAGTGAATTTAATCTTAAAGATAAAAATTTACAATAAAAAAACTCAAAATTAAGATACCTTCTACTGACAGGAATATACACAGTGGTTCTGGCGCAAGAATTAAAATCATCTCTCATGACTGCATCACTGTCCTCATTGTCAATATCTATTTCGAAGTCTTCCTCTTCTTCATCCTGTATCATCACCTTGGAGGAAAAGGTGTGGACGACTTGCTGAAAATAATAGTAATAATATCACAATTTTCAATAGATATTAATAGATAACTGTGCATATAAACAAACACAGCATTATCAAAAGTAAGTGAGGGCTACGAAAGTCTTTTAAAGATATATTCAATATTAAAACAAGACAGATATAATGGATTTAACATACTGTAATAGACAAAGTATAAACACAAACAAACAGAATATTAAAGCAATGTCCAAATTTAAAGAATTTAAGACACATTTATCTACCAAATTAAAAAAAAATCTATTATTATTAATACACACAAATGAATATGCACTGACCTGTTTTATGGCTCCACTCTTGGTGTGTAGAAGAAAGGTAGACTGTGCACCAGAAGCTGAGGGATCAGCAAGCAAGGCAGGTGTTGGTTTAGACCCTGGTTTTTGTGCTTTCTGATTAGTTGATGGTGCCTTCTATACAGAAGAGAAACATGGTATTAATATTAGTCCTCTTAAATTTGGCTAATGAGTTGGGGACTTTTGGGGAAACCAGAAGATGCTGTATCTGAAAGATTTGTTAGGTCATTCTGGTATGCAGTATAACTGAAAATTGCATGTTGTGGCCAGCAGTGGGTGGGATAAAGAAAGATTGGATTAATTATTCGCTTTCTGTGATGGGGTAATACCAATTTTTTGGCCTGCACATATTAAAGTAATTCTGTCTCCACTGGGCTTGGGATTTGGAGAGATAAATATAATACCCATATGCAATGCTCAAGCAATGCTAGAGGTCATAAAAGGATACGTGGTTGAATTTGAAATGTAGTTTGTGGAACCACAGGACAACAGGAAAATTAAATTAGTCTTCTGTGGTGAGCTAATAAGAAATGCATAGTCAGCTTAGACTGTCCATACTTAGAATAGCTCTTAGTAATGAACATCAAATGTTGTTTTTACAAAAACTTAATATATAATACCTTCTTAGATTTCTTCTTCTTCTTAAGAAAAGGATGCTGCAGTGACCCAGCTTCATAGAAGATAAGGGAAGAGCGTCTATCCCTATAGACCTCTGGTTGCTTTGGTTTTTGTTGTAGAGTCTTCAACTGGCTTCTGTCACGCAGTTTTGTTTGAGGTGGAGCCCATAGAGGATCATCACTGCTCTCACAATGACACTCAATCTGGCATTCCTCTTTGCCGCAGTTTTTTTTTCCAGAATGGGTCTTGTCACTGCCATGCCTTCCACCTAGGCTTTCGCAAATGCATCCCATGCGACAATACTCCTTTGGACAGGGTGTCTTTCTACTTAACCCCACCTGCTGGGAATCACCATGATCATAGTCAACTGATGTCGATGGCTCGCACAGGTGGCACACACAGCCATACCTACAGCCTAGAATGGGATGAAAACAGGGTCTATTATGCTTCGATGTAAAACAATTTTTTTTTTTTAACAAAAAACATTTTTAGGAAATGTTTTTATCTTGTTATCTTCTTCTTAGATGATAAATCCATCTATATGTCAGGTATATTAGAGGCATCTCTATTATAATTATTAGTAATATAATAAACCCATCTTGTTTAGGGTACCTAAAAAATTATAATGGCTGTACCTGGTTTGTTACAGGCCCCTGTGTCACTCACTAATGGATATTTCTCTGGAGAAAGGTGACTGGTATCCAGAGTAGATACTGCATCTAGCACCATCGTCCTGGTCAGAGTGACTAGGCCCATTTTTTTCCCTACAGAGAAATATAGTTCCTACCTATATATTTGTCCATTATTTATCATTATTATAGCATATTATTTTCATTACTTTTCTTTTGTTAAATACTTTTACTCCAAACTAATAGCAAATGAAAATGTTAAATATACTTTTCAAAGAAAATTCAAATGGGTGTTTAAAATTTTTTGTTTATAATAAATCAAAATCAATGTCACCAATCTTTTTTTTTTTTTAACGTCTTCATTCAGTCTAGTGAAGGGAGCAAAGATTTTGTCAACATGTAATGCAACCATTAAAACAATGTACATTTATCTAACAAATTTTTAAAAAATCTATCAATTTTAAAATTTTAAATGTTATTACTTATAGTACTAACTTTATAAATGAAATCTTATTGTCAAAAATCACTTGAAAGATTTGCTTACCTCCAGATGATCCAGGCTTGAATATGCCAGTGCCTTTCTTTGGGTCTTCAGGTTTTTTAAAATCATCACCTTTGGTCTTCCTGTGGGTAAAGTGGATACCACGGTTCCTCTTCCTCTTCAGTGCCAAACCCATCTGCTTGATCTTCTTTGGAGATATTTTCCTGAGGAGCTTTTGTTCCGATTTCCAGTGGAGTTTCCCAGATTTTGTGAGATGCACATTTATCCCTGTGTTCTTTTGAATCACCTCAGGATCTACATTCTTTTTTGGCACATTTTTTATTTTTGAAGAGTCACTGGATTTCTTAGGAGTTTGCCGATTCTTCAACTTCCCATATTCCTGTCTAAGTAACCTTTGGTACCGTTCAAAGTTCTGTCCACCAAACATTTTGGCCTCTTTTGGCAGCAATGTGCTATAGCCTTCCTGTACTTTCATAGCCTTTAAATTTTGTAACATGTTTTGTGTAGAGAGCATGCGTAAAAAATCTCTTTTTTTCTCCAGAGACATCTGGGCCTCCAAACCCTGTTTGGATGAGAATGATGCAAATACAATACCATCCACTGTTGTAAATTCTGGAGTAATCTCCTCAATAATGGCAGCATCCTCGGCCATCTCAGCAACAGTTTTAGCATGAGGAACACCTGCTTCACTTGGGCCATTTTCTTCTATAGCAAAACTACTCCTAATTTCTTTTCCTTCTTGTTCCAAATACTTCTCCAATTCATCACTCACAAATGCAGATGCCTTCTTCTTTGGGTCTACAGGCTTTTCAAACAAGCTGTATGGGTTGCTTTCACTAACCGGTTCTGGTAGGAGCTCTTCATTCACTTTTTGTTCTACCTGTTCACCACCATTTTCACTGGCATCACAATTCTGATCCGTTGTGGACAAATCCTTGCTTCCCAACAGCAGTGAAAGGTCAGCAAATTCACCAACTTCTTCGCAGACATGGTCCACCATCTCATACAGCAGGTCAAGAATTATCAAATCGTCTTCAGTTTCCACCCTGAGGTTTGGGAGCATGCCTGGAACTTCAAATTCCATTATACCTTGGTCATTTCCTTCAGGTTCCTGTGACAATTTGTCTTCCGTGGGTGAAGCTGCTTCTTCTTTGATCGGTATATTCATGCCAGATTTAGGACTACAGGCATGTTCATGTTCAATGACAACATCTTTATTTACATCCACTGGTTCTTCTTTAATAACCACAGGAAAAAGGGCTGGCTTTATGTGAGATATACTCTCATCATCCTCTGAAGAAGATGATGTGGAGCTTTCATCACTGCTTTCTTCACTTCCCTGCTCTTCATCACTGGTCTCACCGGAAGATTTTTCTTCAGCATCTTCTTCTAACTCCTGTACATGGACTTTTTCACTCTCATTTTCATCTTTTTCAACTGTATTACCCATTTCATCATCATCATCTTCTTCATTATTACCCTCAGATGTATGCCTGATCTCTTTCACTCTACTTTGCATTTTGGCGATAAGATCAGAAAGTGGATCATATCTGTGCTGTGCAGCAGTGCCAGGAGTCTCCTCATCCAAAGTCGCTTCTTTGTTACTCTCTTCACTGCTTTGCTTTCTTTTAGATGAACTACCTTCATTATCACGTTCACTAACCCTCACTTTTGGGCTAACAGCTTTGGATACTTTTCCAGTTCTTTCACCCTTTCCATCAAAGTTGAGATTCCTTCTTACTCCATACTTGACAGCATCAGCATCAATTGGTTTCAATGGTATGACAACATTTTTTGTCAATAACGGATGCTTTATAGGACTTGATTTTGGAGAAGCTTTCTGATTTGTATTTGGTAATTGCTTGAGGGGACTGCATCCTGGTGAGGACTTTTGAGCAGAAGTAGGGAGTTGTTTTAATGGGCTTTGTGCATGTGACGGTTTCTGAGCAGAGGTATGGGTTGAACTCAAGTCAGGTGGACATTTTTCCAGTGATACTTGATTTTCTGACGATGAAAGCAGCTGCTGACCTGATGGACCTGAGTTGAAAGTAATGGCACTTTGAATTTCCTGGGGTGAGCTTGAGGGGGTCAACTGTTCTGCAGATGACTGACATCCACTTGCTGTACCAGCATTGTCTATGGGTAGCTTCTGCGTCAAGTCTGCCTGATTTGGTTGCTGTTCTGATTCTTTTGGGGATATTTCATTTGTTGAACTGCCTTTAATATGTTCCACAGGTCCTGGGGAGATGCTCATTCTTAAATCTTTAGAATTCAAGGAATCTGACTGCTTTGAGATAGGTTTTATAGGTGAGTCAAGATTTACTGGTGATGTTTGAGGTTTTAAATCTGGTTGTTTTACAGCTACCCCATCAACTTTGGCAAGTGGTTGATTTTGATGCTTTTTTGGTGAAAGTTTTACTGCTGAATCTATATTCAAAGAGTTTCTATTACTCTCCTGTTCAGCATTTGAAGGTTTTTTGTTAGCCATTTTTGTTGAAACATCTTTCTGGGCAACCTCTACTTCTGCTAGCTTGGCAGGATTTGTTCTTAAAGAAGCCTTTCTTTTTTCAGAATCTTCTCTAGTCATGTTCTCCAGCTGCTTGTATGAAGCAAAAACCTTGCTCACTTTTGCCGAAAAGTCCAATTTAGGATCAGATTTCACCTTTGATCCTTGCTGTGAACCATCTTTGTTCTCAGTTGTAACCTGGGAATTAGGCTTTCTTGTAACTGACTTGGAGGGACTGCCAGTCAAAAGTTTGACATTAAAAAATGTCTCACTTTTTGACAGGTCTGCCACACTGGGCAACTGCACAATGGGTTCCCTTGGTCCTCTCAATATCTTCAAAGCTTCCTTAGGGCTGGAGTAAACCCTTACTTTCGACTGCTGTCTAGGTCTACTAGTGTTGCCTTTGTCTGCAGGAGGTATTTTTTGAGAACTTGAATTAGAGGTCTCTTTTAGTCTTTGAACTATGTCTTCAAAATTGGCTTCTAATTGTTGGGCCTCCTCTTTTGAGATGCTAAAAAGGGCGTCTTCATCAAGAGCCTTTTTGTTTTTTCCCAGGGCCCCTTCTACTTGTTCACCAACTTCTTCTTTGGAGAATGTTTTCTTGTGAATTTGCTTTTGAAGTGGTGCGTCTTTTTCAGCATTGCTCATCCCTGTTTGAACTTTTTTCCCAGATTCTCCACTGTTTTCAACAGATACTTTATCTAGAACATTTTCACGGGACCCTCTTCTAGTCACCCTTGCTTCTATTGTTCTATCTTTGCTGCTGTCAATTTTGTTATGACTTTGAAAACTGGTTTTATGACCTCTAGATCTTGTTTGCCTGGCATCCTGTTGTGTGAAGTCCTCGTTGGGTGTATCGTTTCCTATTCCAGATTTGATCTGCTGGGATCCGCTTGCTATGGCTGCGGTGCTTTTAACTGCTCCTTTGGCATTCCCAGAACTGTTTTTCTCAGAATAACGAGGATTGGTCTCATTCACAGTGGTGCCTGGCATACTGCTAAAAACATATATGACATATTTAATCCATGTAACCTTTGTAGATCTTCTTTTACAGCACATGAAAATAAAATCAAGCTTGGAAAGAAATGAGAGATATTTTAACATATAATACTGAAATAAAACTAACCTTCTGGTCAAATGTTCTGCAGGAGAACCTTCTCCAACTTCTCCATGTCTTGCTGGTTGAGATACAAAAGCTGCTGTGCCTCCTACTTTACAATACATATAAATTGGCTATACAGTTATGGTATAATATACAGTAACACTTGCATTCCTTTGATGAAAAAAATATATAGAACAAAACAGCAAATACATTTCTTAACAATTTGATAAAGACAACTGTCAGTTAATAATCAGGTGGAGAATCCTATTAATTCACCCTTTACTAAAAAATGTCATAAAATCTTTATATTTCACCAGAATGGCCTGAAATTTTTACTGTTGATAGAAAAATGTACTCCAAAATATATTCAAAATTCAACATCTAGTTGTCAAACCACTAGTGCATTTCTGCTCAGAGCCAATTTTGCAGTTTTCAAGCTATGTATGCAATACGGTCTCAGAAATTATGAAATATAGTCTTACCTTGATCACTAACACAGGAAATTGGCAAATCCTTCCTTTTTGCATGATAACATTATCTGTTTGTTTCTGTCTTGTCACCTCTATTTTGGTAGAAAAACCTTTATGTTGCAATGGTTCTTCATTTGTGCAAATGTCTCTTGTGTGTGCTGTATTGTCACTGACAACTGACATAATTTTGGTAGCACTTTGGCCTGCAAGCACTGTGGATGTGTCCGTCTGAGACACACCTTCAGATGCAACCAAAGGTGTCTCCATTGCAGGTGAACTTGTTAAATCAGATCTTCCAGCATCATGGGGATTTAAGAAGCTACTACTACTTTGGCTTACAACTGTTCTATTTTGGACTTGAACTGTGGACAGCTTTGCAGTATGATCCTTTTTAGCAGCAGGGTCTCCACTTGCTGTTGCAAATCTTGTTTTCAGCAAAGCAGCACTTTGCAGGTTATCTGCATGAGCTTTCCTGGGTGACTTCTTAAGGTGTAGCAAACGTTCAGCATTTGTTATGGGTCTATGAGCCTTTGTTACTGGTACAGAAACTTTTCCACCATAATGATCCCCAACAAGAGGTGATGTTTTGGACTCCTTTTTTGCACTCTGTCTTTCCTCCTGCTCAGCTTTATCCAGATATCTTAACATGATATCCAATGGATCCTGGCTTGTGGAACCAAATGAAACCATTTGTTTTCCATTCCCTGGTTTCTTGCTGCTATCCATGATGAAAAGTTCCAATATCTTAATTGTCAATTGATATAGTACTTCAGCTTTAAAAAATCCCCTGCAATCATTCAGTAGTCCTGTCTATACCCTAATCAAAACAAAATGATTTCTGTTTAGCTTTTGGCCAGTTTTATTAAATTACCATTACTTATTCAGTTTGGCAAAAGTAATAATAATAATAATAAAAATAATATAAATAAATAAATAAATTATAATAATAAATTATAATAATAAAAATAAAATAATAATAATCATAATAATAAGTTATAGTAAAGTAATATATCTTATTTTATAACATATTTTAAATGTGAGACTCAGAGACCTAAAACTTCCTCCTAGGTATGTACCACCAGCTAGATTAGGCTCATAAAAAGAAAAAAGCTCATGCATATTAGTAGCTCAGAAAATTAACAGTAGAAATAGGAATAGTGTTTGGGTAAACAACATGTTATATACACCAACAAATCTGGCACTAGAAGCAATAATGCAATCAAAATGACACATTAATTAAAAAATGGACACCACATCCAGTACTGCATTAAACAAGCTGCACAAAATGCAACAAACACGGGGTCATTACACATCATCTCATAGAGAGATGGTACCCTCCATCAAGAAACATGCTGATTTTAACTAAAAGAAAGACAAATATTGCCGGATATAAGGCCTATTTGACCTTGACATTTTTGAAGGGACTGGCTTGGTTGCTTAGCAGGACTCACTCACACTCTTCTAGCCTTCCTGTGATATTTAACAGTCAAGGAAACAAGAAGGCATCAATTTCACTGCTCCTGTTGGCTGTCCAACTCACCACATTTATAGGAAAAAATTTCCAGTCTAAGGTTTCTGTAACTCTTTATTATCATTCAGATACCGAAAATGAGTTTTTTCCTGCAGGCATCTAATTATTCAATAATGCATCTATCTTTGTGCTGATTTAAATTAACAAAAAGCCCCTTGAAAATATAAAATATTGTTATATTTTTTCATTGCTATATGTAAGCATAGGCTTTAATCGTCAATTTAACATCTTTCTATTTTGAGGTGAGATAGCAACCGGTATTGGGTGTAACTTTATCCCTGAACAAGATTTTATCATAAAAATTGGCAGAGTTGACCAGGAGTATATGGGCTTCAATCCCCTGCCATCATTTTGGTTTTAAATTTAATGTTTTTGTTATGGAGTTATGAGCCCCTAATTACAGATTTTCATTAAACAAAGACATTTATTTGTTTTATCAACAATGAAATCTGAACTAAGACTTTAAAGAAAAATCATTGGCAGGGTTTTGGAGTACTAAATAATTTCATTAAATTGCCGTTGAAACGGTGATTGTGGGTGCTCAGGTAAAATAGAAATTTGAGAAACATATTTTTCAGTTTTTATCCCATAAGTTGAATTATGACATCACGCCTAATGTGACACGTAATATGACACGTGTAAATATAATTTAGTAAATGAACAGGTTGCATTCCCTTTGAGGATGGAGAGTGCAATACAAAAATTTTGAACTAGTGCATCCTACTGGTCAAAAAGTAAACTGACGGTACAATGCAATTAATTTAAATACAGACAACCGTATGTTGGACCATAGTTTAAATATAATTCAGTTTGAAGCAAAATGTTCATAATATTATATTTAGTTAGAAATTTAAAATTCCTGGCAGACATATCTCTGATGATCTTAAAGGGATAATAACTCTTCGTTTTGGCCAAACAATTAATTTTCCTGGAGTCACAACAATTTTCCCATACTTACCATTGGTTAATGAATCCATTTCTATATTCAAAGTTAGTCCCCGTTTTTTTTTTTTTTTCTAAATTTTTTTTTTATAATACCTTAAAAGATTATAATAGAGTATAGCCATCAATGGAGGTCACGTGGTCTAAAGACAAGCTCAGATATCAGAATAATAGCTATAACTGCCATTTTTGTGGTACAACAGAGTATATTATATTTGTATAAGTTGTTCACAATGTTTTTATTGTGAAATGTAGAGCTCATACGAAGAGTTATTATCCCTTTAAAAGGCACATCAACATAGACAAAATTGTTTGTAAGACTCAGCAAAGACTTTTTCCTATGGGGCTTGAGGTTATTCCATGTAAACCAGGCACTGTTGGTAAAATTTTACAGGGTGGTGACTGGTAGTGAATTGACACTCTTCCACCATCTGGTCTGAAAGTTCTACAGTGCAAATAAAGGAATTGCCGCTACATTGTAGTGAACAGTTTGTTTATTCCTATGTCTTCGTTTCAGTCTCTAAAAGCAACTACAACATGAACCAAAATTGGTTTTTACTTATCATCAACACACATTTTTAATGAGCACATTTGATTGTTTTAAGTCAAATTTTATCGACAGATCATATACAGTTTCATTTTATACCCTTAATGTCTAAACATGGCAATAAACTCGAGGACCAGAGAGGTGATACCACTTCTGGGTATTGTACCACCAGCTGGGTTAAGCATTCATATGGAAAACAAAAAACATGGGACACCACCTCCAATGTTGTGCTTGACAAGCTCTACAAAATGCAGTAAACAAGAGTTCTCAACATTTTTGTTGAAAATTCCAGTTAATAACAAAATCATGGGGAAAAGTTAAGAGTTCTGATCCAAATTTGTAAAGTAAGGTTCATGGCAAAAAGTAGGTCAAAGGTCAATTTCAAGGTCAGATTGACCATATACAACTTCCTATTCAAGTTCAATAGTAAGTTTGGGCTTCTCTGCCAGTTTTGGAGTTACAAGGAGCAGAAAAAGTTGCAAAGTTCAGTTCATGGTGAAAAGCAGGTCAAGGGTCAAGTTCAAGGTCACAATTAGACTGTCAACCTATGACTTCCTATTGAAGTTCAGTGGTAACTTTGGGTGTATCTGCCAGTTTTAGAGATATAAGGGACTTAAAAGTTGCAAAGTTCAGTTCATGGTGAAAAGTAGGTTAAATTTCAATTTCAAGGTCACTGTTAGATTCCCCGTTTTTATGAGGTCTTATGCAAGTTAAATAGTAATTATGGGCATATCTCTGCCAGTTTTGGAAAGATAAAAGTTGGAAAAGTTGCAAAGTTTAATTCATGGTGAAAAGTAGGTCAAAGGTCAATTTCAAGGTCACAGATTGTTCTGGCCGAAATTCATAGTCCATAAAAAAACTCATATACCAGTTGGGACTTAAACCATGTGTAGCACCAGCGCCGCACTGATAGTACAATAAATAAATTATTATTATTATTATTGTGTTGCAGTTTTTTTAATTATTTATACTAATTCTAATAATAGTTGTAATGGGGCTGTCTTAACCTAATGAATGAAATATTTAGGAAACTTGAATTAAGCTGCTCAACAGAAATACAGAAAGTAGGAAGAGAACAACAAACGCTCTCACACTTTCAGTCAAGCAAGAGACAAGTCAAGCAAGAGACAGAGTAACATTGATAGCTAAATCAGGTTACAGTTAAGTATCAAATATGTTTTATAACTACAAACATTTGACAAAATGTGATTATGGATCACAATAAGAAATGAATAATAATGGACAGCAGCAGAGAATATTGGCAGCCTGGCAGGCTTTAAATTCTAAGAATTACATAGATATTCATTCTAATGTATTGTCCTTGTGCAAAAAATTGTAAAAAAACAAACACTTTCCTTATGGTGACAAGGTCTGGTTTAAAGAAGTTTCTTTCTGTATACGTCTTTTTCTTTTCTTTTTTTTTTTTTTTTCTTTCTTATTAATTTTTTTCAGCGTTTTGTATTTTGAAGATGAAAATTCAATTAATAATTTTCCTCTAATCATAGAATGATAAAGCATCAAAAGAAAACCTTCTTTTAAGTTATATTTACTAGTAATGCACATAATAATAATGGCTAAGATATGTCATGAATAAGTTTATAAATTTCTTTATAATTAATTTTTTCTTTAAGGTCAAGCATAGATAGGTCTTAAAAAAAGGATTAAGTATTTTAGCTTGAGCCTCTAATTCGTGAGCAAAGCTGCCCAAGTTAACAACTCCAGCCATAAATTAAGTATCCCAACATAAAATCAGTTGCCACAACCCCAGTGTTTGATCACACAAGCTATTATCTGTTTATATACAGAATTTTATACATACAGTATGTTCTGTATGAGCTGGGGATTGTCAAGAACACGTTGCTGCCATGTTAATATGCAGTATAGTTCATCAAAAGACCCTGTAATAATGTAATACAGCCATAGTAATATGTATAAAGCCATAGACCCAGATGGAAACTAACAATTTTTTATGGCAATTATTCTAAAATCTGTGCTAGAAAAAAATGTGAATGTTGGAATGGATTTGTCAACCATTAATTATGGTAAAATTGTCCTTTACCCCAGGAAAATCTGTTAAATGGCACTCTCCCTGTTAAAATAAAGGGTTTTACCCCTTTAATGAAGTCAATCACATCAATAAGATGTCTGTATTAAATGTAAAAGTAGTCACACAAATTGTTCAACAGGAAGCAATCCATGCACTTACAACGCATTTTAAATTCTACTTTGTGTGCTTTCAAACATCATGGAAAGGATACATAAATTTACAATGTGAGCGAGCAGTGTCTTTGAGTGAGCAGTGTCTGATGTGCTCAACATACAAGGTCCAAACCAGTTAGGTGACGATATAAGTTTATTTATTTATTTAGGCCTACTTATGAATTTTTTTATATTGCACAAAAGAACAATTTGAGTAAACTCCGGTCTTCTTCTTTTTGATCTCTCTATTTTTTACACTCTGAAAAGAATGATTTACATATCAAACAACTGACAAGGCTTATAATGACACCTGATTATTTTGAAATGTATTTACCAGCAGTCTCTCCCCAAGCTACAGTCACGTGTCACAACATACAGTCAATATAAATATATTTTCTATTTTGCACTTTTATGGCTGTAGCTTAGTACATAAGTGTTAAAAGTCTTACTGAATAGGACCATTGACTTACACGTACCAAGTTGTGACTTAAACGTACTCCTAGGTCAACTAGCAAGCCATGCCGCGTACATAGCCAAGTGCGGAAACCCATGCAATATTTGGATCGTAGATTACTGCACAAAATGACAAAGAGTCAATCTAAAACTACTTCTAGTATCTGTCCAGTAACAAACACTTGTCGTCTGTTGGAACTTTGAACTTCCGTCTAACTAATATTTCAAGATTAAGCCCAAAATAATATGTTAACACATACCTACAAACCTCTCCGCCATCTTTAAATGTGTGCGAGCTAACGCATTGTGGGATATTACCGGGCTTTTTGGCCACGTGACCTATTCAGTCGCGTGCCCTATGCCGTGCACGTGTAAACATTGTTTAATAAAAATAAGTGGCTTTTATGCTTGAAATAACAGCCAACCTCGTTTTAGATGACCCCACTTATGGTTTATATAAGATCAAAACAGACATCCTTATCATGAAAAGAGTTGATAAATGTTAAATTCAACTGAACCATCGTTCACAGATTTCTCGCAGGTACCCGTATGACATTCCATCAAGACATGACCTTACCGTGGTTAACTAAAAAAAATAATGTGAATTAAATCGTTTGTCAATTTACTTTGTGAGTGGTACATTTTAAAGTGGAATGGAAACAAGAGATCTCAGCAATCTGCGTCATCATTGAATTTAGACGTGTAAATTAACTAAACAATATGTCGGCGTTCACCTTGTTTACAACCGCACAATCCGCAACACCACACAGTAATATAACTGTTCAATCTGTACAACGCGTTAAATATGGTTCATTTGGGGGTCTTCTAGCACATCTTATATTCATTTAATTGATATACTGTTCGAAGGCGACGGCACACTTATTTTAAGAATAGACTAATTGGGCGTACATCGAGGTCAGGCTAGGGATTTATTGTTTTGATGGCAGCAGCCTAAGTGCGGGAATACCTAGCCCGTTCTGAGGTCAAGTCAACACAGGTTATCTCCTGACGTTGATATAGTGCTTTTCAGAGTGGGTACTTCGCCTTGTGCAGAGTTGTTTTATGTTAAAAGATTTCTCTCTTTTTTTTTTTTGTATTTTTCTTTTGTTTCATTTTATATTAAAATTGATTTTTGTGGTTATAACATAGTCTTTACGTAGTAGCAATAGGGGCCTATATATTAATACGTATATGAATGAAATGTCTGTGAATGGAGATGGGCTAGTGATTTAAACTTATTACAAAAATAAGTCTGACTATTTTTTAAAGGCAAAACTGATAACATTTAACTAAAAAAATTTAAATCATTCTCTTGAAACATTATGCTAGATGTCTGGAACAATTATACTACAACAAGAAGAAATATTAATAACTACAGGCATATCAAAAAGTTAGTAATGCTAAAATTTTGCTATTTTTGTTCTTTAATTTTTTTCTTCGAGAAATGTATAACAGATGTCAAAAAACAATCAACAAATATAGTTTACTTTTAAAATTCACATTGTTAAATTTTTCGTTTTATTTTGAACATATTTATTGATATATCCAGTCATCAATTTTAAACTATTTTTAGTGCACAATATTAAAGCAATGGTTAAGTGAATTAAACAGATGCTCATGTATATAATGATTGAAGACATATTCACAACTGAATTGAGGTAAATAAACACCTGCTGAAGGAAGATCAGGGTGGGCAATTATTGAATCACAAATCTTTAACTACTGGTATACTATGTCTGCATAATTTTAAAATATAGACATTGTCAAAAAAATTACACAACATATTTAAATTATGCATATTAAATATTATTGGTCGTTTCAAAAACTTAAACTATAACCTCATATAAGAAAATAACGACGCTTATAAATATCCTATCCACATTTTTAAATGCCAAATATGTGAATATGACTTATGGACAATTTCAAATGTTTATGGTGTACCTTTAATTTTGTAACCTCTGGCAAAAAGTTACATAAGTTTGGTAAGATTACTAGAGTTATTAATAATTTTCACTGATACATTGGTTATGCATACTATTATTACCTTATAATAAGAATCGTTAGAAAGCATCAAGGGATCGTGTCCTTAATTTATTTTAAAGTCTTAAGCTAGACTTAGAGCTGAAATGAGATACTGGTCTATACAGTCAACTCTGCAATATTGATGTAAACCTTTCAAGAGAACACAACAAATGTGTGTGGCATTCATATATGGGCAGCTGTCACCATAGCATTGCAAGTGAAAAGCTCTATGAAGATAATCAAAATTTGCTCAAAGATCTTGGGTTAAATGCAGAAAGGAAAGGGAAATGGTCATCAAGAAGACAACTTAGTCCGATGTGTTCTCCAAGGCCATAAGTTCAGCCGAAAACCAGCTTCTTGAAACCACCCCTCTTGGCTTCACCCATACTATTTAAAATACAATGTAACAAACTTTATCTTTATATCATTCCTCAAATGACATGAGAACATATCACAATCAATGTGTAAGTGTAAAGAAAACTGCCACTGCAGAAGAACTCTTACATTAATCCAAGCTTTACAAAAATTAACTTTGTTATAATTTTCATATCTGTCCAGACTGATACACCAAAATAAGTCTTTGATTAAAAAAAAAAACAGCAAAACTGGCAAATATACTGACACCTAACAGGTAAAATGTTGCAAAAGTAAATAAATAAAAAAAATGAACTTATTTAAAACATGGGTCAGTCATATCAATTTCGAAAGGAAACTTGCATTTTAACAACCCCCCCCAAATAAATAAATTAATTAATTAATTAATTAATCAATTAATTGAGGAAAAACTCAGAAAATATTAAGTAAAACAAAAATATGATACTATAAATGGTTCTTTCTTGAGAACTTGACACAAAAAAAGTAATGCATACAAGTTATTTTATTATCTTATTATATTATAAAATACTTCTACCGTATAAATGCAAATATTATTTTATCAATAGTGTAAATAATATAGTCAATATCCCTCTGCCCACTGAAAGAAACCACACTGTTTATTTTTGGATGCTGTGCAAGCAAAGAACTTTCTGCCATTATTAACTCCTTGTTTAAATACAGTCCTTATAACGCATCTTTTATTGTGTTCACACAGCGGGAATGCTTCATCAGCCCACTGAAATGACAAATAAATGCAAAGACTGGGTTAATTATGAAAACATATTTATGTATAGAACCATGCTTTTGTGGACAAAAAGAATATTTTGAAAAAAATTATGCATAATATTACAGAGAACAATTATGGTTACTATACTGCTTCCTCTTACAGAGACATTCCTTTTCACTCTTTTTGAAAGAATTAATACAAAAAAAATTGCATAACTCTTTTCCAATTCAAAATTAAGCTTTCTAAACTTATAATAATTAAAGAAATCATTTAATTTTCTAATTAGTATTATATATATATTAAAAACAAATTTTTATCTTAATCTTACTCTTCATCTTACCTTAAAAAAATCACACTGTTTTCCTCTAGAGAGAGAACAGGCAAAGAAAACCCTCTTTTGATTTTCACCTTTTTTTCTCACTTCCCTTATGACACACGGCTTGTTATGTTTGGTGCACATTGGAATTGAACTTTTCTGACTTGGTGGCTCTTGTTGTTTTTGTAACAGTTCTTGTTGTGTCCCACTGCTTGGCTGTTGTTCCTGCTCATTAACAGGACTGCCAACAAACAGTTTCCTATCTACTGTTGCAACTTTACTCTTTTTAGATGCTGGCAATTCTAAACTACTATCCTTCCCAGCACAACGCTTTATCCCAAGTTTTGGATTTTCATTACATTTTTCGGGTCTATCACAGGACTCTGTGGTCGACTTTGATGGGTCGTTCTGGTGGTCACTTTTCTTATGACCACAAGCAGAGCAGGTCAGTCTATTGTAAGCATTGAGGAGAGTACAGACTGGACACCCCCACTGCTGTTTGTTTGATGCAACACCACTGACCCAACCTAAGAGGCTGTTCTTGGAAGGTAGGTGCCTGAAATGGTGTTTAAAAATTCCACAATGAACCAAACCAATGTATCAAACCATACATGTACATCTTTTGGCTCTTAAAATTTCATATCTGCAAATAGTTTTTCACTTGAAAGTATGGCAGATTTTTTAATTACTTTCTCAAACCCCATGGACTTCAAACTGGCCAAAATAATTTAAAAAATTGTTTTTCATTACCGACATCTGACTGATCATATGGTCACATCAGAAAAATATATAAACAAAAAAATAAGTTTTACAGATTTCACAGGTCAAATGATTGCACATAAGTTCAACTAGACCTATACTAGGCAAATGACTGGTTTATTTTCTCTTACTTCCCACTTTTTCAACCAATCACCGCTTGATATTAATGTGTAAGTCAGAGTCAAATGACGACAACATGTAGGACAAAATCATGTAGGCAGCTGAAGCAGAAGTCTATGTAAAGGCAATATAAGAAATAAACAAATGATAAAAATTTAATGTAAAAAACATAATATATAAGAGATAAACAAATGATAAAAATTTAAAGGGATAATAACTCTTCCTATGAGATCTATATTTCACAATAAAAACATTGTGAATAACTCATAGAAATATAATATATTCTGTTTTACCACAAAAACGGCAGTTATAACTATTTTTTCTGATATCTGAGCTTGAGAGAGCTCTTAAGAGATTTTAACCAAAAAACAAACTTTTTAGAAAAAAAACCAAAGACTAACTTTGAATGTAATAATGGATTCATTAACCATAGGTTAGTATGGGAAAATTGTTGTTTACTCCAGAAAAATTCATTTTTTGGCCTAAATGAAGAGTTATTATCACTTTAATGTAAAAAACATAATAGGTAATATATCCAAATTAGCATTAAACATTTCAAATGTTACATGTTAATACACTGTAGCTAAAATTATGATAAATAAAATTTGTATTCCTATCTTTGCAAAAGATTATAAACATTTTTACCTTGACTGCTTTTTCTGAAGGTCGTTGACCTGACAACTGTCACAGAAATAGGTCATTCTCTCATTTTCCCCCATCCGTGTGATGGTCACCTTGTTTCCACATTCTGTACATTTATGTCTGTTATATATCTTACAGGGGAGTTTGGTCCCTTTTCTTCTACACTGGAAAATGATCACAAAAACAATTGAACATTATTATTGTGAACGATAAGACTGGTTGAACTGAGGGTAGAGTAACTATTTTTGTGTACAAAAACATAAAAACTACTTGTTCTTTATAATGAACACAAACTTTATAGATAATACTAAGACAAAATCTTCAAATACACTGGCAGAGTCAAGAGATTTAATGCTTGTAAAATAGTAAACTGCCACCCTCCCCCTATTAATATCCCATGCCAGTGAAGTGTGGAAATATGTCTTCCCAGCATGAGAAAAAAGTTACAATAACATTTTTTTCTGGCTGTGGCATCAATACCAGGCACACGCCAAAAAGCAGTAAAATAAAAAGTTTCTCCATAAAATCCAGTAAAATTTTGTAAATATGTCCAGTTAAGGACCACATTATCTGTTTTGGGTCAGTAGTAGTAGATTTAAGCTCCAAGGAACAGTAGGAACTGTTCATGGACCACATAATTCATCACTCACTTCTAGAAACACCATGGAGTAATCTCTGGTCATTTTCACCAGAAAGGAAACATGAACCTCTGTAAGTGCAGAGATCTGAAAGGCAGAAAAGATCAGCAATTAATCAGCTGTAAGTTGACATAAGCTACTTAGAATTCAATATCTCTTACAGCTACATATATTATATATCTGAGCTAATATACTAACAAAACAAAATTATAATTGTAATCATCATTATTTCTTAAAACTGCTCTAAACAAACTCCTAAACAATGCTCAAAAATATTTTAAATTTAGCCTAAAATCATTCAATTAACTACAACTGATTTGAACTAATAAATAAATTTAAAATCACAGCTGAAAGAGATAAAATTAACAGTAAGTAAATTTATTTTGTTACCTTTGTATCTGGTTTAACTCCACTATCAAACAGAGCCTGAGAAAAAAGAGCATTAAGATAAATGGAATTCTCATTTTAAATAAGAACGAACACATAGATATCTGTAAATCAGAACAATGAATATATATCATGGACTTCATAAAATTAATGATAATGGTTATTTTATCTCAACATGTTATTTTTATTCCTTATTTATTAATTTTTTTTTGAAGAATAAGCTTTCAGCTGTTTTTTTGCGGTTTCACTTGTAAATTTTCTTACTTCCCATGAAAGTAGCTTGTGCTGATGTCTATTTTAAATTAGTGAATAAAATCATATAATTAAACTTCAGTACAGAAAAACAATTTCTTAAAAATTTAGTTACAGGGCATTTATGAGCTACAAACTTGACAGAGTAAAGGTTAAAAAGTAAGGAAAAATTGAATTTCTGTGTACAGATATTCTGTACACTGCCTACTCAAATGTTATCTAATACATATATTGAATTTTGTTTAAGTGTATGAGTACACAATGTATCACATTCAATTATAATTACTGACATTTGCAAAAATATATTGCCCCTTGCTTAACACCAAAATTTATTTTATCAAGAGCAGATGCCAGATCTATATTTCTTTTTAAAATAATAACTAGAATCCAATGTCAAATATGTCCATACCTCATTTTTGATGATGTTCCCCACGCCAGGGAGTATAGTTTGGTCCAGCAATACATCACACGCCATTCTGTCCTTCTCTGCGGCCACAGCTGCCGTAGCTTGGGTGTGGTTGAAAGAAGGGGAGCAGATGTCTTGGCTCTTTAACTGCTCAAATCGTCCTCTGCACTCTGCTGACAGACTAAGTGTGACAAAGAAATGAAAATGCACAAACTTTTCAATGGGCAAAAATTATCAAACTTTCAGATACATGATTTCATGATCAGAAAAATTATATTTGGATAAATAGCAATGAAGACGGTAATTTTCAAGTCATAATTTCATGAATTAGAACATAACTATTGAGCATGGATCGAAGCAACAAAATTAAAAATCACGTTACTCTATAGCTCTGTTCTTTGCAGTTAAAGATCCACAAATGTAGAGATGTTTAATTCTGTTGCTACCACTAAATAATAGTACTGTTCTAATTTTAAGAAATTGTGACTTAAAATACGGAATTTGTAAAATTCACAATTTTTTGTATCAATAAAAAGATAAAACAATTACTGTAAAATTTTACAGAGTTTCAAAGCTGAGGTAGGCTAACTTCCATATTTCAAACATCCATACTGTACATGCTCTGTTGTTGTTTCTGAACTTCAGTGACCTGAAGTTAATCATGCCAATCACAAATGTTAGAATTAATTAAAGAAGAAAAGGATGCTAGTCTTGGTAAAACATTTGCTTTTGTTGTTGTTTGATTGTTTATTTTGTATTGTTTTGTAAATTTATTTACTTTATTCTTCTTTCATTTATATTCTTCATGAAAGAAGACCTTGATCAGCTTTAATTCATAACAATCTATGCTAGGAATGACTTAGGATGGTTTGTAAAATAAGCCACACAGCTAATTTATCTAACCCTGCTTACCGTACTTCAACACCAGACTTGTATAAAGTGAGCACATCCTGTGACATCTGTATTTCTAGACTAGCTGTCTCGGCAACCTTGGAGTAGTCATTGTCCAGTTGCTGGCCATTCACACGAAATGACCCTGCCATTAGGAAGTGGATCCTGCCACATATGAAGTTGCATATATATTCATGAGACACTAGGTATTCAGCGTTCAATTTCTATTTACCTTTTGTAATTTTTTTAATATATGGAATGGATTCAATGATTTCATTATTTATTTAAATTTACTGCTGCTTTATTTCATCAGATTTTCTTTCTATTCATCCCTTCTCACCCCCGTTTTAAATTTACTTTTTGTGTCGTTAATTTCCATATTAAAAGAATTCATTTAATTCAGAAGGAAGGAATTATAATAATAATAATAATAATTTATTCGAGCATTAAATGTGGCAGTTACATTTGTTAGCCCTCTATACTACAAATATATAAATAAATAAATAGTTATACATCACTATGGATTACTACTAATACAGTGTTTAAGATTATTAATTACAGTGTATACGTTGTTTAAAATACTTATTACAATTGTAAATAGTTCAATACACTGAGGGAACACACATTTTCTTTGATAGGCTTATAGCTATATGTATCTAATGTGCCATACTTAAGGTTCATATAATATATAGCAGGATGAGGCTACTTCAGTGTGGCAGATGCTCATTTCTTTTGGAAATATATAAATAAATAAATAGTTATACATCACTATGGATTACTACTAATACAGTGTTTAAGATTATTAATTACAGTGTATACGTTGTTTAAAATACTTATTACAATTGTAAATAGTTCAATACACTGAGGGAACACACATTTTCTTTGATAGGCTTATAGCTATATGTATCTAATGTGCCATACTTAAGGTTCATATAATATATAGCAGGATGAGGCTACTTCAGTGTGGCAGATGCTCATTTCAGACCCTTCCTGCTTTTTACTAGGTTAACGTACATAATCATGATTTTAACAGCAATATTCAAAACTCAAGTTTAAACCTCATTTTCATGTATTTGTGCAAATAATCCTATAGCTTAAAGCAACAAATACAAAGAAATTATAACAAATCCAGGGTATTTTTTTTTCGTTCTCACCTAAGGCACATTTCACCAAAATACATGAACAGTTCCTTCCCAAGAGTCTGCACATCTTGAAGAGTGAGGCCAATAAACTGGTCAAACTGAGAGCCACCATCAGGGAGCTTTTTGGCTTTCTGAAAACAAATATACACTGAGCAAGATATCCATTAGCTTGGTAGTTGGATCATAAACGATAATTATTTAACGCAATACGGCAAATGTCCGGATTAAATCAAATGTTTCCACCGACACTAGCTTTGCGTGTTAGCGGACAAGTCTCGTCGAAGTGTTCAAGTTACCATTTTAGTTGCATTGCCCTCTATTCTCTTCACTTTCTGTCCTCTTAACCTAGCTCTGATCTTCTCCCCTTTGATCGTGCATCCTGGTCCTTCAACCATATTATGCAGCACGCGGTTTGACACACCAGGAAATGTGAATTACACAACACTTTTATTTTTCCCGCCACTCTTGTCGATAGGGGGCGCTGAGGTGCATTGTTTCATATCGCTGATTGTATTCGACGTTTGCAGTTGGTTGGCTTGGAGCCTTGTTTAATGGGTCCAAGTTTTCGGTAACTTAAACATTGAACGCTGTTCCTGAATAGAAAATATGCTCTTGAAATTTACGATTGCTAATAAACGTATTCAAGAACAAAACTGATATCAAGAAAATTTAAACAAACTTAATTTATACAAAAAAATTCGAAATTGTTGCCTTTATCGCCGGATAAAGGTCGATAAAATTTGAGCACCAACAAACGTACAAACTCGCCAGCGAGCAGACAAATAGACTTGCGATTTTTTTTTTTTTTTTTTTTTTTTTTTTGCAAGCAATAATTTGTCAGTGGCTGGTCACAAGAGTAGTCGATATGAACAGCAATCCAGTATATAATGATTTGTAGATTGTGTTAGTTGTGCAAAAAATGTTGAATTGTTCAGTGTCCACGAGAGAGAAATAAAATTAACATAGGCCTACCGTGGTAATGACAACAAGTTGTCAAAAAGACTACAACTCTTCGATTACAATAATTTAGTCGTCGCTTCCTCCCCATACATGTGAATACATAAACAGATACATTTTCAAATAATAATTATAACACCGTAGGCCTACCATCACAATTTCGAAATCATTCTGCTCAGTGTAAATGTCACACAACATTTCGGTAAAGAATAATAAAAAAAATTGATAAATTTATTCAGTTATAATATCAAAATATATGTAAATGACTTAATAGCAAAACGTACGTGAACTGACACCATACCTCCTTACACAGAGCCCCTATAGCTATGTGCATGTATTTTGTTGTGACCTACTTTATGACAATTGAAAACGCGACCTGGGTTTTTGTTAATACAAAATCAATACGACGTCGAAACCTTGACCTCCTCAAGTCTGTTGACGCAGAGATTATACAGTATTACACGCTTTATCTTCGTCGTAACATAGGGGAGTCGTCATCACCTGACAAATTCTTTATTATCTTTCGAACTTTGAATTCGAAAATCAAGACGCCAGCAATGGCAGAGAGCAACATGGGCAATATGGAGACTTTAAATGACGAAATAAACAGGGGACTTGATAGGTTTGGTTTATGCCGAGCAGCCCGAGAGCTGAACTACCTGAGAACAGACATATTTGAAATTTTACAATCCGGGTCTTGTATCAAGAAACACTGTGGCAGCAAAGGGGACAGCGTTCCCTATGGTTTGGACGAGGAAGGGCGACGTGTTCCATCTGACTTTGATTTAATGGTGTATGACTATACAGACGTCGTATTCTGCAATGATCCTCAATTCACTTTTCACCCTCCAAAGGATACAAACCCAGCTGATGTGCGTACATATTACTTCGATACATCAGACTCACATGTCGGTTACGGCAAGTTACGCCCAGTAGGCGCAACCGCAGCAATTGAGAAAGAGGAGTTCTTGTCAAGCGAAGAAGTAGCAGAGGAGTTTCACAAGTCAAGGCAGAGTAACAAAGACGCTTTAGAAACTGAGAGACATGGCCCCTCCTCCTACGTTAGTTTTCAACCTGTCCCTAAAAGCGACGGCAGCAGCCCACATTGGACAGCCGATTCAGACACAGTACTGGCTTTCCCTGTGGTAGACGGCTGGCCGGACTGTCTAAAAGGTTGGCTCACCCGAGAGAGGGTGCATGGATGGCCTACGGAAGAAAATATCGCAGCCATTTTGCAAGATGGCTGCCACATTGTTCCGATCGGCCATAAGAACAGTAGTCCCGAGCGTCATAGATACGAGTGGAGGATTTCAACGGTTTTGGCCGAGCGGACCCTCGTGCGGTCATTTACTAATACTCAGCACAGAGCTCATTTTATACTGAAATACATCAAGACTTTGATCGAAAAGAAAACTGGGCGTCAGGGAATCCTCACATCGTATCACATAAAGACACTGATGCTGTGGATAGTTCACGAAACGCCTCGTGACATGTGGCGCAGAGACAATCTTATTCAGTGTGTAGAGAAGTGCCTCGAGAGGTTTCTCAAGTGGTTTGATGATGGCTACCTTCCACTTTATTTCATGCCTGATAATAACCTTATTGACACCCTGACAGTTAAACAACACCAGAGTATTTCCAAAGAGTTGTCATTCATCAGGGGCAATCTTACAGGTCCTCTACAAGTCATCAAAAATTTGCAAGAATTTAATATGCTCAGCGTCACCCCCGTTTTAACCAGTATTTGCTTAGATATGCCTTTCTTACGAAAGGAGAATTTGATCGCTCAGCAAAATATGCAAAGATGTTGTCACAGCGTTTTTGATAAATCTTTAGGGCAACACATGTCACGGATTTTGGAAAGGCTACAGCAGCACATTGAAGGATGCAACAGTCATGTGCGCGCCCTGAAGGGAAATGTAGAAAGCGATTTTGTGAAAACTGAACAAATATTTATTTCTTCTGTTGACCTGGACATGGCAAGTAACAAACTCAAACTAGCGAATTTCTATTACACTTGGGGTAAAACTGCAAAAGCCATCGGCAACGCTGCAGGTGCCACCAAGCATTTTGAAAGCGCCGGAAAGTACATCACACTCGCGCTGGAAGATGGAAACTTGAAATATTACATATTATATCCAAAGGGCCCATGGATATCTAAGCACGACCGCCCATTTTTGGACAAGCAGGGCAGAGAAATAGACGGTATGCTTGAGCAAGAATCAGGTATTGGTAGGGGACGGGATTTAGTTCTCTGGATACTGGAAAAACGCATTTTTTGTTGGCCTGTTTACTATCCACCAGCGTTTCTCTGCACTTTGCCTGAACAAGTGCAATACGTTTTCCACGCTGCCACAGGAAAACATCCAAGAGAACTACCCTTCATCCACCCACTTGTGTTTGGGAAATTTCTGGCGATTCTCATTGCCAATGACACGTGCCACGAGAGCAGCCGAGAGACTGAAGTCTCTGAGCGCATGCGAGAATTACAGGAGGCATGTGACAAGAGTGTTTATCTGCGTTTCGAGAAAGCGATTGGATACGCTCTTCTGGGACAAATTCACATGATGAACAATAACAAAGCGGATGCTGTTATCTGTTTCATAACGTCCTACCGTTTGTGGGCGACCACTGAAAACTGTGCGATATGGCTGCTTTGCATAATGTGTCTTGCGGAGATATAATTAAGTTTTATTTACAATATATTCATATGGCAAAAACACCAACTGTGGAACTTACCGATTTGAACGAAGTAAAAGATATTGTATTAACTATAGATTGCTAATAATTAGAGAAATCATGGCTGTTTTACGGCAAGTGCATAATATTTTGATATTTGTATATTTGAATGTTAGGTGGTATATTAATGAAAAAATCGAAAGCACGCTAAAAATCCATTTGAAAGGAGCATTCCTTACCTTCAAGCCGCTAAGTAGGATCCGAATGCAAACAAATATCAATTATTCTTATATAAGCCCCTATAGTATCTAAATTTATTGAGCAGACGTCATCTTAGTAGGAAGTGTCAAAGTCAACGAAGATAGGTGTGTTAAAAGTATGTGAACATCGTTAAGTTGAATGTTGATTGATGGTAACTTGTCTCCAAAATTTGGAATTTTGGCAAAATTGCTTGCAAGGGTATGTAGGATTATATGCTATGTAATGCAACTAATGGCTCTACTTGTCTTTATGTTAGTAAGTATAATTTAGATATATGACTACAAATATAATATCTTAATCTATTCCAATAACTATACGTGTAGGTCTTTGGTATTATTATATAACACCAACTTACATGATAATTAGTTTTTACTCTTAAATGCTGTTCACATTCAAGTCAAGTGCAGTAAAGTCTACATGCGTACTGAAATACTGTATGTATGTGTTTGTGTCATAGTTAATATATAAACCCACGTGTACATGAATTATTTGGTTTACAAAAAAAAAAAAAAAAAAAAAAAAAACAGACCGGGACTATCCAAAAGACAAAGCACGTTGTTCATACACAAGGGTTCGCCAATTATTTATGTAAGAACAAAATGATTGTATCAAACTTTGTTTATGGTTTATTGCATCAGATATGCTGAGCAAGCACATCTATCACATTCCTTTAATAAAAGGACCCTATTAGCATAAGTGAACAGTTCTAGTTGTCACACCCAGTAGAGTATGGGTCAGTTAGGTGTGTGCTGCAGAGGTGCAGAAATACAGTGGCATTTTTTTTTTGTATTTACCCAGTAGAGGCATAATGGTAAGATTTTATGCCAATTTTGTACATAATGTATAATATCAGTATTTCTCTGTTTATATTATATAATTTTTATTAATTAATAACCTGGTTGCTAAATGTATTTTAATTTGTTATATAAACTCAGATGTTATGTGAGAAGTGGTGAAACCAGCTAGACAAATAAGTGACAATTGTATTTTCTTTGTTTTAGTTACACGGCTGTTTCAACCTGAGAATATTTGAATAAAGCTCAAGTAAAGGAATATGCCCGTTGTCAGTTGCCTCGCTTTTCTGTGACCCCTGCGAGCTACAATTTATTTATTTATTTATTTATTTATTTATTTATTTATAATAGCAGATATTGTCAGTCTAATATATGTATCATAAACGCCAACCAATCCAAATGCATCAAAGAATAAAATCTAGTCAATGTCATTTGTTAATGTTAGGAACCAATGTTATTTAGATAAATTAATGACACACTGGGGAAGGGTAATAGTGCATCTTTAGAAAATGCCGAGAGTAGACCTTTCATAGCATTTTGAGAGAAGTGCAAGAAGAATTTTTTATAGTTGTTGTGTAGTGATGTATAATGTAGATACAAGAAGCAAAAAATGAGATAATTTGTATTATTTATGTCACGGCGCATCAGCAACAATTGCTTTACTTTCTCTATAATGCTGTTATAAGTAAGGAATAACGACGGTCTGGAACTTTCGAACGTTACTCCACCGATTCTCTTTATACAATTTATTCTCTATTTCTGCGTACTGATCATACGTTTACGTGA